AACTTGTTTCACACGGCTACACTTTCATCCCTATTTTACTGTTTCGGCAATATCTCGAGCCGCGGGACAAATTTTGAGCCGGTTCTTGATTTATTTCGAAGATCTCTTCCAGGGCTTTACTCTGGAGTCCGGTGCAGAAAACAGATCTTAGACCTGAAAGATATGGCCTTCGCAGTTTGTTTTGAGTGGCTGCACCCCTCCAGATTCTGTGTGATTACGGGCAATATGTTGTTAGACTTATATGCGAAATGCATGTGCGAATGAGTGGGAAAAGATTTAGTCTGAAAGTGCTTTACTAAGCACGAACTTGTGAAAGAGAGAGAGAAATACTGAGAATGACTCTAAGATTCGAATATGGACAAATCTAGTGTGGATAGTTACAGAGATACACTGGAAGTATAGAGTCTGGAGACGATGAGAATCTCGGGGAAATAAGGGTGGTGAGTGACATTCGCGTTGTGTGCACACTCTTTCTGAGAGCGAATGCGTCACATGGCCTCACACTCATTTCCTGACTAGACTCCTGACTATACCTTTACTAAGGGGTCCGAATATTGTACATGTTGTATCCTTGTATATGGGCTAACCGGCGACTATTTACCTAGTTGAGTAAGACCTCAGAAATACTGGATGCATCGTTTCTGTGATCACAGTGCACTGGGAGTGCGTAGTGAAATATGAGAAAAGAGGATGAGTGAGTGATTTGCTGAGTGTGTATGTGATATGAAAGTTTTCTGTAATGATTTGGTATGAAATTTATTGTTCTATATGCATGAAATTGTTGTATGATATTTGTATCATAATATATGATTGTGGGACATTGTGTTTCAAAGTAGATGCTCATCCTTACAAACATTTCAGGGAATCAGGATGACGAACCCTTCGAGAAGAGTTAGGTTGATAGAAAGTAATGTAACAACTTCACTATCTCTTGCTCAGTTTCAGACTTTTGCTCATTAAGTTCATTAAGACGACTTTCTACATTTTTAATTTTCTCACCAAGTCTGCAAATGCTATCAAATTGCACATCAAGTCAAACTCAAGTGACAAAAAGGTATTGCCACTTCACAAGAATAAAAACCATTAATTGACTTTCATGTCATCCATCATAAGAGAGGACATTTTAGAGGGGCATAAAACCAACTCGGGCTATCACCTTACGATTTAACTATTTTAAGATTTTAGGAATATCCTTGAATAAATTTATTGTTATCATATCATGAATTTTCAAGCAAGATTGAAATATAAATATCCCATGATCATATTCAAACCATGTATAGCTTAACAAAGAAATAAAAATGAAACCTAACTCATGTATGATACCTTGTCATCGTTATTTGCAAAGGAAATCATCCAGTTATTTTTGTGACAAAAAGATGGTAATGTTAGATATTTTAACATTAATATTAATATTTATATTAATTTGTGGATTAATATTATTAAATTATTATAGTTATATTGTTATTAATTATGACATAAAATAAATATGTATACTAATAATAATTATTGTACTGGATAGGGAACTGCTTGGTCCTACATATAGGAAAAGGAAACCAAGTACCTATTCGGCTCAATTTGGTCGGGTACCTCTTGGCAGGATTTCAAGGTAATTAACCCAATTAAGTAATAATAATCAAAGTATTATTTACTTTGAGAAAAGAGCCAAAATCAAGGCTGACTCAGCAGACCCATTAGCCCATAATAGCGCCTATAAAAGGAAGGTAGGAAGTACAGGTAAAGAGTTGAGTTTTCATTATTAAAATACCATTTATTACTCAGAACCGAATCCTGACTTCAGCATCGGAGTGCCTTTTGCAGGTACCCTTCCAACGTCAGCGACAGTCAGAAGGACGTCATTGTTTCAAAGCAGAGACTTGAAGACAAGTGTTTCTCTAACAGGAACATTTTGGCACCCACCGTGGGGCCCGATTAGCCTCATTTTTCAGATTCATTATGTTACTCACGAGAAGCCAGCAGGAAGGACATGCGCAACAGGGAGGAACCTCTTGGCAACAGTTGGAGGGTATCACACCTGATGAACCAATACCTAAAGTTGTGATGCAACGAGGAACTGACGAGAGCCTTTTAGCTGTGCTAAGGCAGCTTAAAACAGAAATGATGGAGATGAAGAGGGAGCGAGAAAAAGATGCCCTGGAGCTCTCAGCTTTGAGAAGGGAAAATACTAATTTGAGAGAAGAAATAAGAACACACATCCCTTCCCAAACTACACCCATCGTCCAGGATTAGGGGGAGTCCTCGGCTTTGCAGGAGAAATCAAAGTAGGTTTACCAATCTGAGGCCAAAAACGGTTGAGATGATCTTCTGAGTCGAAGCCCATTTGTTCACCATATTTTGGAGGCAAAGTTACCCGATAACTGGAAAGGCATAACAATAGAAAAATACGATGGCACATCTGATCTTGGGGAACACTTGGATGTATTCACAACCCAGGTCAATTTGTACACCGAGAACGATTCTTTATGGTGTAGAATTTTTCCTACCTCGCTCCGAGGACAAGCCCTCAGTTGGTTCACTTGGCTCCCCCTTCATCCATCGACTCTTTTGCAACTCTCACAAGACAATTCAGCTTGCAGTTCGCCACAAGTAGACCTCATCCCTTAACATCCCTAGCGCTGGTTAATATTCGGCAAGAAAAGGGAGAATCACTTAGAGTATTCATGGAAAGCTTTGGCAAAGTGACCCTTTCGATCCATAACTTGGAACCAGCAGTGGCTATGCACCACCTCACAACGGCCCTTAAGCCAGGACCTTTCGTTAACAACATTTGCAAAAAACCACCTATTGACCTAGACGAGTTGAGAAGTCGAGCTGCAAAATATATGCAGATGGAAGAATTGTCCGAATACCGAAATCAGGTACGGATGGACCTGGGGTCCAATTTAAAAAATATAGAAAAGAAAGAAACTTTTAAGTCTAGGCAGGAAAATAAAGAGAGAAGGAACAAACTTGAAAGGCCACCCAGGGGACCCACGTGCCCTTCCTACACTACGCTCAACACTAATCGGTCCAAAGTACTTGATCAGGGATTAGCCACAGAAATACTGAGAATGCCTAGACGCGCCAACACCCCTCCTCGGGCAAATAAAAGCAAGACTTGCCGTTATCATCAGAACAGGGGTCACACTACCGAGGAGTGTATAGCGTTGAAGGATAAAATTGAAGAAATAATCAAGGAAGGACATTTAAAGGATTTTGTGCAGACAAACCCCGTCGGTCAATCCAATAGAGGAAGAGACCATTGCCCTGAACCATCGAGGAGATATGATGACAAACGACTTGAACGACAGAGGAGTAGGTCTAGGGAACCCCCAACTAGACGATATGAGGAACGTGAGAAGTATCCCAAAAGGGTTATTAATACCATAGCTGGAGGGTTTGCCGGTGGAGGACCTACCCATTCGGCCAGAAAGAGACATTTGAGGCAAGTCCGATCAGTCAACAATGTCTCACTGGGTAGTAGGATTTGGATTCCCCCTATTACATTTACTGACGAAGACTTTCAAGGAGTTGACCCAGTGCAAGACGATCCCATGGTGATAACTGCATCGTACGAAAAACGCTTATTGATCAGGTAAGTTCAGCCGACATTGTTTACTAGAATACTTTTAAGCAGTTAGGCATTCCAGAAGAAGAGCTTAGAGAATATCATGAACCGCTGGTGGGTTTCTCGAGGGAACAAGTGGAGACTCGGGGTTGTATTGACCTGTATACCTCATTCGGGTTAGAGCATGAGAGAAAATGTATAAAAGTCACTTATCTTGTAGTACATGCGAATACTTCCTATAATATACTACTCGGCAGACCATCCCTAAACAAATTGAAGGCCATATTATCCATTCCGCACTTAACCATGAAGTTTCCGTCTGAAAGGGGCCGAATCGTTACAGTCCACGCTGACCAGAAGACGGCTAGAGAATGCTAGTTTGCAAGCCTGTGTCTTAAGCCTTTCCATGGGAGCAGCCGAGATGTCAACATTGTATCCCCTCAGTTGGGAGAGGAGTTGGATTTTGAACTTGATCCTAGAATGGATGAGGGGTATCGGGTTGAGCCTAACGAAAACAAGCAGTTTTTCCAACTTGGACTGAAGCCGAAACAAGTTACTTATTTGGGAGTCAGTTTGTCTATACAAGAGAAGCAAGCTTTTCAAAAAATACTGCAACATAATGCTGATTTGTTTGCTTGGTTAGCTTTGGATATGCCTGGCATAGACCCTGCATTTCTCTATCATCACTGTCGGTTTATAAGGGAGCCAAACCGATAGCACAAAAGAAAAGGAATATTGGCGGAGACAGAGCAAAAGCAGTAGAGGAGGAAACTAATAAATTACTACAAGTCGACTTTATCCGGGAGGTCAGATATTCCACCTGCCTAGCCAATGTCGTCATGATTAAAAAATCAAGTTGGAAATGGCGAATGTGCATAGATTTTACTGACCTCAATAAAACATGCCCAAAAGACGCATATTCACTGCCAAACATTGATACCTTAGTGGACGGTGCAGCAGGACACAAGGTACTCAACTTTTTGGATACTTATTTTGGCTACAACCAGATCCAAATGTATCCTCCAAATGAAGAAAAGACGGCATTTATTACAGATTCGACAAATTTTTGTTATTGGGTAATGCCATTTGGCTTAAAGAATGCAGATGCAATATACCAGAGACTTATGAATAAAATTTTTGAAAAGCAAGTACGTAAATGCCTGGAGGTATATATGGATGACATGGTGGTTAAATCCACGGTATTGGAACAACATCTTGCCCATTTGGGGGAGGTGTTCAAGAAGGCTAGGAAGCAAGGTATGCGGTTCAATCCCGAGAAGTGCACATTTGGTGTAGCTGGGGGAAAGTTTTTGGGATTTATGTTATCTGAAAGGGGCATTCAGGCTAATCCCGACAAATGGTCAGCCCTCGGAATGTCAAAGAAGTTCAACGCCTGGCCAGTCGGATTGTAGCCCTCACTAGATTTTTACCAATAATGGCAGAAAGGTCTCGGCCTTTCATCGAACTGCTTAAAAAATCTCAAAAATCTGCTTGGTCTAACGAATGTGAGGCCGCCTTCGTTCAATACAAGCATATACTAGCAGCGCCGCCTGTGTTGACCAAACCAAAGCCTAATCAAGAAATGATTGTTTATTTGGCTGTATTAGATAACGTCATCCGTTCGATTTTACTACAGGAAATACCTGAACCGGCTCCTATATATTTCATCAGTCGAACACTCCAAGGTCCTGAATCCCGCTACCAGTTGATGGAAAAAGTAGTACTGGCCCTACTCCATATAGCTCGTCGGTTAAAACATTATTTCCAAAGCCATCGGGTGGTTGTGTGCACAGATTGTCCAATGGCCAAAATTTTGAGAAAACCAGAGTTGGCCGGTCAGTTGGTAGCATAGACAATTGAGCTCTCTCAATTTGATATCCACTTTGAAAACTGACGTCCTCTTAAAGCTAAGGTGCTAGCGGACTTTGTTAATAAGTTCACAGCACAAAGACAAACCACTTCGGATATGTGGAATCTGCACGTTGACGGATCATCAAACAGATTAGGTAGTGGAGTAGGAGTTATACTTGAAGGGCCGAACACAGTCACCATTGAACAATCCATTTGCTTCAGATTCAAGGTGTCCAACAATCAAGCCGAGTATGAGGCCTTACTTGCTGGTCTCAGATTAGCAAAGGAAATAGGAGTTAAACGCATTACTGGTTGGAGTGACTCAAAAATAGTGACCGAACAGGTTAATGATACATATCAGGTTAAGGAAACAATTATGCTCCAATATTATCAAGAATTCAAAAGAATGAAAGATGAATTTGATGAGATATGTGTTCGGTACACACCAAGAAATATGAATGAACGAGCCGATAGGCTTGCTAGACTGGCTAGCCAAAGGAAACCTGGGCAATTGCAAAGCGTGATTCATCAGGAAATCCTCCAACCCAGCATCACTAAACAAGAGTGCATGGACATAGAAAATACGCCTCAAAATTGGATGACCTCAATCATCCAATACCTTACCAACAGCAGCTTACCAAAGGATTTAGTTTTGGCTAAGAAAATAAGAATGCATGCAGCTAAATACCTCCTCCTCGGCAAAGACTTGTACAGAAGAGGGATTTCAACACCTATGCTTAAATGTCTTGACGACGACCAAGCTAGCTATGTCATGAAGGAGATTCACGAAGGTATTTGTGGTACCCATTCAGGTGGACGAACCATGGCAGCAAAAATACTTAGACCCGGATACTATTGGTCGTCACTCGCCCAAGATTGCCACGTGTTTGTAAAGAAATGCATCCCTTGTCAACAACACGGTCCTCACTTACACCAACATGCTGACACCCTTCGCCCTATTAGCTCTCCTTGGCCCTTTGCTATTTGGGGTATGGACCTCCTTAGCCCTTTCCCCTTAGCAAAAGGGCAGTGTAAGTTCCTCATTGTTGCCATGGATTACTTCACTAAGTGGATTGAAGCCAAGCCCCTTGCTACCATCATGGCTAATAATGTTCAAAAGTTCACTTGGAAAAATACCATTACACGTTTCGGTCTCCCTCATGCGTTGGTTACAGATAATGGGCTGCAATTTACAGATCGACGGTTCAACAAATTTTTAGAAAGGCTTCACATCAAGCACAGGGTCACGTCCGTCAAACATCCTTAAACTAATGGCCAAGTCGAGGCTACAAACAAAGTCATTTTATGAGAGTTAAAAAGAAGGTTGGGGTCGGCAAAAGGAGAATGGGCTGAGAAGCTACCCGAGGTACTATGGGCGTATCGGTGCACGCCACAAACCACCACAAAGAAGACTCCTTTTCGACTTACCTATAGTACTGATGCCATGGTGCCGGTAGAGATTGGAGAACCTTCATTTCGAAGGGAGAACTTTGAGAATTCGGCCAATAACGAATCTTTAGCCGTCAATTTGGATTTGATAGATGAAGTATGTGGCCAAGCAGCAATTATGACCGAGGCTAGCAGAAGAATGATGGCAAGGAAGTTTAACTTCAAAATCAACTCAAGACAATTTTATGAAAATGACTTGGTATGGCGAGTAACCGGAGATGCACGACGAGATCGACGAGAAGGGAAATTGGCGACTAACTGGGAAGGACCATTTTAGGTATCGGCAAGATTAGATAATGGAGCATACAAGTTAGAGACATTGGAAGGAAAGCTTATACCAAGAACTTGGAATTTTACACATTTGAAGCATTACTTTAGTTAAAGGCTTGTAATTTGTAATCGGTGTACTCTTTTCCTCGCCCAGGTTTTGTCCTCTTAAAAGAAAGTGAAAAGGAGTTTTCTTGGGAAGGTTTTTAATAAGGCACCTTATCAATAAAATACTCCTTCTCAGTTATGGATTTAATGCGTCAAGATTTCTTTCAGCAATTCATATGAATCATTATTTAATTTCCCTCCTGAGTACCCCTACTCGGTCAAGGATGAATCATTATTAAAATTCCCTCCCAAGTGTTACTTGGTTAAGGTTGAATTGAATTCCTTCCCGAGTACCCCTACTCAGTCAAGGATGAATCATTATTTAAATTCCCTCCCGAGTATCCCTACTCGGCCAAGGATGAATCATTATTTACATTCCCTCCCGAGTACCCCTACTCGGCCAAAGATGAATCATTATTAAAATTACCTCCCAAGTGTTACTTGGCTAAGGTTGAATTAATTACATTCCCTCCTACTCGGTCAAGGATGAATCACTTATTAAAATTTCCTCCCAAGTACCCCCACTCGGTCAAGGATGAACAATTATGTTACCATTACAAATACCTTTCCGATAATAAACAAATCAGATATTGTACTTTGGTAAGAAAATTTTCATTTAAGTATTCAATGTTATTAGAAAACGAAAAAAAGTGAACTTGTATTCATATCTGAAAAAGATTACAAAATTTGGGTGTTATCGGCCTATGAACACAAAGAAAATAAAAAAAGGGAGTTCTAAGTTTCCCCTTCTCCAGCATCAGGGCTGGAGGCCTCGAGAGAGGAACGTTTTCATTATTAATAGCTCGGCTAAGGGCTTCGGCATCAGGTTCCACATCATCATCTACTTCATTGTATGGTATAAACCTGCTGCCAAAGAAGTCTTTAGTAATATCGAAGTGGAAATTAGTCGGGACTTGACAGAATCCATGGCATTGACGAATGGCATGGTTTGAAACCAGACTCATGTTCAAAACCAACTTGCTGTGAACACTTCTCGGCAAAAGCCTTCATGTCAGTTTCAGCCCTCTGCCTTTCACGTGCCAGGGCTTCTTCTATCTCAGTTGATTTAGTCCTTAAGGCCTCCTCTATTTGTGAAAACTTTACCCTTAACGCCTCCATTTCCTCTTACTTAGCCCTCAGTGCCTCCTCGGCCGCCTGGACTCGACCCTCCACAATACGGAAGTGCTCTTTATATCGGCTGACCTTAGCTTCTAGCGATTGAATAGCCTCGCCAAGACTGGATTGGGTCTCTCTGCTTTCCGCCAAAGCTTGTTGAGAAGCCGAATACGCTTTCTGCATATTCTTCATCTCAAGGATAGGATCCACAACCAGCCTTCAGAGCATAGTTGTCGATCGCACTTGAAGCTCTGCAAAGCAGCGCAGAGAGATTCGAGGTCTAGGCTGTCGACTAATTCTTTCCCTGAATCAAACAGCAAATCAGGAGCAGCTACCTGGCTGGTATATGTCCCAGACGCCAAGAAAGACTCGGTAAGCATCACTATAGGAACTATCGAGTGGGAGGAACTACTGGCCCCTTCCACAATAGCGGTTCGGGTTTGCTTGCGCACCCCCTCTACACTACTTGGCCCACCCGAGTGAGCATGTTTTCTTTTTCTCTCCTTCTTGGTTTCTTTGCTTTTGCCCTTGTCCTTGCACTTCTTGGGTTGATTTTCCACAAGGACTAGGTCTCGAGGAGGAGGGCGAGGCTCTGACACATTTGGAAGATGATCAAGTTGAGGGTGTCAATGTTCCTCAATTGGTGTACCTTTCGGTATCCTTTTCTTTAAAGTATGCCAAAAAGTTGGCACGTCAACACCTCGTTGAGCCATTAGACCTGTAATAAAAATAATAAGTCAAATCAATACAACTTGAATTGAAAATCAAATATGGGGATGAAACGTACCCTCCATGTCCAGCCAAGGCTGAGGAGATTTTAATACTAAGAGTACGTGTCGGGCAGGAAGTTCTCAGGGCAGAGACTTCAAATAATCCAACGCCGATAACTCCCTAGTTGATAACAGGTCCTCCGGAATCCAGTCATACTGACGAGGCACTCGGGTCCAGTGGAAGGGAAAGAGAGGATTATTGTCACTACGAAGAACAAGTTTCTACCTATAGGGTGGACGGTTACTTTGAAGTAGCCAATCTTAAAACCCTTAAAAGATGAAGCATAAGGTTTAAACAGTGGCAATTCTGGTTGCCTTATTAAAGATATCCATCTTGCTAAGTCTGATGGACAAGTACAGAAGAAATAAAGAAATAAACCTACACTAGGTTCTATATAATAAAATTTACAAAGTACTCTAAATGCTTGGATAGCCGCCCACCCATTCGGATGGAGTTGTGTTGGCGCTACATTTAAAACCCTCAATACTCCCATTTGGAAATCGTCAAAGGGTAGCTTTATTCCTAGTTCCCTAAACATATTTTCATACACAAAGAAGGTGTCGGCCATCCCAACACCCCCTAGAAAAACAAATTCAGGGTTCCAGGTTTCATCTCCTCGGCACGACTCAATGGATATAGGGTAGGGATCGAACAGTTCCCATAATGAAATTTCACAATGGTCTACGAAAGATTGAAGATTCCTATTTTTTTTAAACCGAGAGAAGTAGGCGGCCACTTCACCGTGTACCCACTCGTATCCAGGAATTGTACAAGGAGAGAATACTGGGTTTTCCCTAGGGGAACTCATGCTTGGCAGTAGCTCAGCAGAGTCAGAATCGATTGACTCAGATGATTCGACCTCGTCACTACATTCTCTAGGGTGACTTTCTATTTCTTCAGTTACCCTATTCGGCCTTGAAGAACTAGTCGATCCCCCTTTGGTTCTCTCAGCATTCTGTCCATCGACACTAGTCGGCATAGATGAATCCGACAACGAGTCCTCCCATTCTAAGGATCCGGCCATGGTTAAAATAAGGAAAGGAAAAGAAAACAAAGCGTACCTCACAAGTAGTCAGTTTGGAAGACAGAAATGAGTACCTTTCAGTTTGGAACAACAATGTATACTATTCGGCTTAGAGAAAAAGTGGAGAACAAAAGACCTGAATCACAAGATACTTATAGGAGATGAGTGGTCGGGCATACAAAGGGTCATCTCCCTTTCGAAACGTTAGATCTTTTACAGATCAACGGTTAAGAAGGGACACCCCTTCATCTTACGCACACACATCAAGAAAACCCTAGAATGATCTTTTTTATTATTATTTATTATTTATCTTTTATTTTTAATTTTTTACTTCTTCAATCTACACAACTTTTTTGAAAAACTGAGTACCCTTTATGCACCCCGACCCACCAAATAAGGTTTCAAGTACTTCAACCGAATACCCTATTCGGCTTACTTGCATTTCTTCAAACCGAATACCCCCTCGGTATTCCTGATTACCATTTAAACTACATATCCCCCTTTGGTATTCTTGCCCTCCCAACTAACCGAATACCCCCCTCATCTACGTGTTTGATACTTGTCTATATTTAAAAGTCCTTCCCTCGTACCTCATCGGGCTTGGGGGGCTAGTGTACTGGATAGGGAACTGCTCGGTCCTACATATAGGAAAAGGAAACCGAGTACCTATTCGGCCCAATTTGGCTGGGTACCTCTTGGCAGGATTTCAAGGTAATTAACCCAATTAAGTAATAATAATCAAAGTATTATTTACTTTGAGAAAAGGGCCAAAATCAAGGGCTGACTCAGCAGGCCCATTAGCCCATAATAGCGCCTATAAAAGGAAGGTAGGAAGTACAGGTAAAGGGTTGAGTTTTCATTATTAAAATACCATTTATTACTCAAAACCGAATCCTGACTTCAGCATCGGAGTGCCTTTTGCAGGTACCCTTCCAACGTCAGCGACAGTCAGAGGGACGTCATTGTTTCAGAGCAGAGACTTGAAGACGAGTGTTTCTCTAACAGGAACAATTATTATTATATAGATTTTGTAATTGAGCTCTTTGTGAGAATGGTCCGTGATGCGTTGGACTATTTTATGTGCCTAGTGAGAGGTTCCTGCTCTCATTTGATTAGGCTTATATAACTGTTGCCCCATTAGACAGTTACTATTGTGGGATAATAGCAATCAGATAAGAGAGTAGTATACGCTCACTCGAAAACAAGGATTGCTTATGACTTATGGGTTCTCATCAAGATTGCTTTGACTCGTGGATTCTCATCAAGTACGCGTTTAACGCAATTATTCAATGATATATAGTTGGAATTATATTGAGATGTTACAATGTGTATTAGATATAATTATTGGAATTATAATTAAAATTCCAGCAAATGGTATCAGAGCCAACTTAATACACATCGTAATTTTTCAACTTTGAGTAATCAAAACGCTATAATTTTATGTATGGATTTGGAAAATAATTTAGGGCTTTGTTCCTCTTATATTCATAAATATATTCAAATATTGTTAATTTTCATTGAGTATGTTAAAGAGAATTTTACAGTTTCTTATTTTTTGAAACTATGAATCCTAAAATTGTTCTCTTTCAAATTCTCTCAAAGGGGCAAAGTTTTTTTTGAAAATAGATTAAGGGCTTTTGTTAATAAATTGAACATGAGCATAACCTAATAATTAATTCATTATTTCGTTCAATTTAGATTGAGAATTTGTTCTTTCTTTCCTTTTGTGTTCATCATTGCCCTATTTTTGTTTTGATTCAATTCCGTTAAACAAAAACCTTTTTCAATAAATAGCCATATGGCCTTTGTTGTACATATCACAAAGAACATATTGGACCCTACTCTTTGAAAGAAACTGTCTGGGTTGCTCAAATTCTCACTTCAAAACCTCCATGGCTGTGCGGGTTTTAGCCTTTGAAACTCTCTTTTGTTATTCAAAATACACCCTTTGGAACGGTGTGAATTGGTGCTTTAGAATGCAAGATTGAACT